CTGCAGCTGATGCCAACGGCAGGCTCAGGAGAGACCACGGCCAGAATCACCCAGCTCAGCCCTCAACACCCGACCCACAGAAAAAAACGGAGATATGAGTATCCACTGTCATTTTAAGAAACTAAGATATTGGGGTTAGTTATTATGCAGCAGCGAATGACTGATACACTTGTCGTACCCTGGATATTAGGAGCCTCCGTTTGTAAACCTCAAGCGGAAGGAGAAGGTGCTCCCTGGTGACCCACTGCCATGACTCTGAGAGGAATTTGGCAGGGAGCAGTGATCTTTAGAATCTGCCCATAAACTGGAAGTTAGCACCAGTGCTCTCGTAACTATGCTTGTAACTGATCTTTGCCTCCATAATGGAAAACACTTGTATCTTTGATCATTTATGGAACAATTCTTGTGATTAATCCTCACAGTGAAATAATTATGTGGTTCAGCAAGGAGATGACTGACTCCATGTCACACTGTGGTTAAGGGAAAGTACTCTGGACTCCTCAGAGCCCAGACAAGGGCAGTGAGCAGACAAGGAACTCGCCCTGGGTGGGGGAGGGGGGGGACCCAGTCTCTACTTCAAAAAGTTGAAGGTACAAAGTAGGGAGAGGTGGACCAAGGGCCCAGCAGAAGCAGAAGGTGATGGTGTCAGGAGACCAAGGGGGAATATTGCCTTGGGGAAAAAAATGAAGTTTCTCTTTTCTTTAAAAGGATGAGTATTCCACAGAAAGTACATCACAGTGATTAAGACCAAAGTTGATGTCGCACAGACTTGGGTCTGAATCTGGCTCTGCCACTTCTTAACTAAGGATCAGTTGTGGTCATTCATCTGCTTTAGATGCCCCAAATGTGCATCAATTTATGTTTGAGTGAACCCCTTTATGAGACTGAGTAAGAGAGCATATCTCCCTCTCTGAAGACAGAAAGACCATAATTTTGCTTCCCAGACTCACTAGGACAAGGACATGTGACCTGCAGTCCCAGGGTTTTCTCTGCTCAAGATCCCAGTTCCAGGATCAACTCGCCCATGGCTCATGGGCCCTCATCAGTATTTGTGGAGTTATTTTCTGTGGTTAGCAGTTCCCCCAAAGGGTCATGGAGTACAGACAAAAACAATTTTACTCCTACTACATCCTCTTTGAAGTGAAACTAATAGAAGAATCAGATGAAAATTTAAATTTTTGTCATAAGACTTTCAAGGAAGTAAAATTGGAACACACAAAAAAGACTTTCTGGAACTCAAAGCAGTATGATCAGTTTAAAATTGTATTCAGGAAATGAACAAAAGATTATCTGTAATAACAACTAAATTGATGATCAATCAGATGAAATGGAAGAGATATTTCATCATGGGAAAGAAAAGACAACGAAATGAGAACTGTTTGCTAGGAGACTATTTCCTGCTCTTTCCTCACACTCTGATGAGAGGACTTCTGCACACCCCAAGAAGAAAAAGTATTTTCAAGAATGCTGCCACACCACCTCTCAAATAATGAGCTCAAGAATTCGAAAAGAAACATGCAACGTTGCAATTAGAGACACACTAGAAGAAAAATTCTCAGAACTGAAAAAAAGCGTGTTTTAGATGGAAAGGATTCACCAAAATCCAGGCATACCCATGAGAAAAAGCACATATCCAGACACCAATCAGTTTTCAAAAAAATTTACATTCCCTGAATAAAAAGGCAATATCAGGATTTCCAGGAACATGACCAAAGAGGTGAATCGATCTCAGCAATGAAAACAATAAAACACTGATGAAAGAAATTGAAGAGGACACACACACACACACACACAATGGACTTTCCACGTTTATGGAATGGAAGAATCAATATTGCTAAAATGGATGTGTTGGGGGATCTCATGAAGAGGGAAGGGAGACCAAGAGAGTAGAGGAAAGGGACTGGGGAAGGGAGGGAAATATTGTTAAAATGTCTATACTACCCAAAAATCAAAATTTCAATGACATTCTTCACAGAAAAAGAAAGAAAAAAATCTAAAATTTATATGGAAACACGCACACACACACACACACACACAAAATCAAAGCAATCTTGAGTGAAAAGAGCCAAGCAGGAGACGTGAAGCTGCCTGACTTGAAAGCATACTACAAATTTATAGTAATCAAAACAGCATGACACCCACATCAAAACAGACATATAGACCAAGGGAACAGAGCAGGGAGCTCAGGAATAAACCCACCCACCACACTCAACCGATCCTCCCCAAGGTGCTATGAACACAGGCTGGTTAGGGTCAGTGATGGGAAAATTGGATAAGCACAGTGCAGAAGAATGAAAATAGACCCCTGCAGATCACAAAGTACAAGAATATGAACTCCAAATGCATCAAAGGCTTCGATATAAGACCCGAACTATGAAAGTACTAGAAGAAAACAGGAGAAGAAGAGAGTCTGGAGGTTGAAAGTGAAGGATAGAATGTTGCGTGAGTTGATCTGGCACAAAAGGATCTCACTCATATGTGGAGTATAAAATAGTTGATCTCATAGAAGTTAAGAGTAAAATCGTTTCCAGAAGCAGGGGAGCTTAGCAGGCAGGGAGGGGTGATGACAGGTTGGTCAAAGGATACTCAGTTACAGTTAGATAAAAGTAAGCAAGTGTTGGTGTTCAGGTGCACAGGAGTGGGGCTACAGATAACAATAATGTACCCTACACTTCAAAAAGGTGAGAAGAAAGGACTTTGAATACTTTTACCACAAAAATAAATGAAATGGTAAATGTTTGAGGAAGTAGATATGCTTGCCCTGATTTGAAATTTACATATATATATATATATATATATATATATATATATATACACACACACACACACACACACACATACTAAAGCATCATGTGCACTCCAGAAATACATATAATTTTATGTGATTAAAAATTTTCCTAGGGCTGGGATTGTGGCTCAGCAGTAGAGAGCTCGCCTACCACTTGCAAGGCCCTGGGTTCGATCCTCAGCACCACATAAAAATAAATAAAATAAGATATTGTGTCCAACTACAACTAAGAAAAATTTTTTAAAAAAATTTAATTCCTAAAATATAGAAGAAACATAAAAGAAACTTACAGTCAAAAGATACAAGACACTAATAAAGGAAAGAGGATCCAACCGGCATCAGACTCCTCATCTGCAATTCTGACAGTTGGAAGTCCAGTACAATAATTTGTATAGACTATTGAAAGGGCTGCCAATGTTGGGACAGATTCGGAGCCAGAGAACAACTCCTCTGTTAACCAACACTGAGAGTGGAAGTGGGACTCAAGGGGAAGACAAGTGGAATGTTAGGTAAAATCATATGTCAAAATCCACACAGAGGGCTGGGGCTGTAGCTCAGTGGCAGAGCGCTTGCCTAGCATGTGTGAGGCCCTGGATTTGATCCTCAGTGCCACCTAAAAATAAATAAAATAAAGGCATTCTGTCCATCTACAAGTACAAAAAAAAATGGCTGGTGTCACCTACATCTAGGTGGTAACACAAAAATTTTAAAAAATGCACAAAGAAACCTCAACAGTCATAAAAATTATGCACTGCAAAATAAATCAACAAAATAAGCGTGTAAATAAAAACTACTAGAAAGAAATACAAGGAGAACTGGATTAGCTATGTAATCCTATCTGGGGAATTTTAACACAGCTCTCTGAATAGTTCATACTTCAAATAAATAGAAAATAAATGATACTATTGGGATTTAATTAAAAGGATGAAAAAGCTTAATTGAATAGAAGACTTTTGTCCCAGATCATATCAAAGGTCCTGATTCTTTGGTAAAAAGAAAGGATTACTAAATTCCCCAAACTAAAGGCGAACAGGTCCTAGTTTTTTGTTTGTTTGTTTGTACCAGGGTCATACCCAGGAGCTCTTAACCCCTGAACCACATCCCCATCCCTTTCTATGTTTCATTTTAAGACAGGGTCTCACTAAGTTACTTAGGGTCTCACTAGGTTGCTGAGGCTGGCGTTGAACTTGTGATCTCCTGTCTCAGCCTGGTTGTGATTACAGGCGTGAGTCACTGTGCCCAGCAAGGTCCTAGAATTTGATAGTCATCCATTAATACTAGAAACTAACCATGAAATGAGAAATCAATCAATCAATCACCTAGAAACTTCTCCAGAACAAGAAAATTGGGCACTTCCTCTACAGCTGTATTAGTACTTCTGAGGCCAAGAAGGATGTGGGCAGAGGTTGTGTGGCTCGTTCTGCAAGGGCTGATCACAGGGTGAACAGGGAGCCAGGGAGAGGCAAGACTGAGGTAGACCGAAGTGACCTCGGGTCCAGAGTCGGTCCTGTGTGTGGGTGGCTCCTCTACTGGCTATGCCCTCTCCCTGGATGCCTTTTGTTGAGCAGCAACGCTGTTATACTTCTCTACCCTGGGAGGTGGGCATTTCTGATGGTATCTGTCCCCAACTCTCCTGCCTGCTAGTCCTTCCCCTTCTTTCGACCTAGGGTTCTCATCTATAAAACAAGGTCTGACCTACTTAATTCCAAAGACCCTGATTATAAGAGTCCCCAGGATTATGCATTGTATAAAAAAATGTGTTCATTCTCTTCATTGAAATATTTCTTCTTGAGCCCCATAAGTTTAACCTCCTAGCCCTTGAAACAGTCGAGAGACTGTTTCTGCCCCCCTACCCCACCAGGAGTCTTCAGTTGGTCCCAAAGCAGCGTGAGAAGTGTTAGGACAGAGAGGAAGGGGTCTTGAGCAGAATGATCTCAACACACCCATGGGGGCAAGGAGGGGGCAGGAAGCCTTCCTAACATTGCAGGTGCTCTGTACACACTAGGAGAGAGCTAGAATAGCGTGCTGAGCGGTGAATCATCAGTTAGTGCTACTGGCCAAAGGACCCACATTCCTTTATACCTCTCTGCATTGCTCATTACCCATGGCTACCCTCTGGACTCCACCCCCTAGAACAAATAAAAACCTGAGTCCAGAGCGCCACTGCAGAAGGTTCTGGACTTCTGCATCTGCCGCATCCTTCTCCAAGACCATGAAATGCGGGCTGCTGACTCTTATTGTGGTTTTGGTCCTGTTCCAGATGTTCCCAGGTAAACAGAACCAAGGAAGCCAGAAAAGAGAACAGGTTGGGGAGCTTCATATCTTTCCACTGCTTAGACGGGGTTTGCTGGGGTGGCTGAAGTCGGCATGATCATAGCAGAATGCTTTCCTCTCAGGACAGACCCGAGTCCCTATGTTGGGAGTACATCTGGCCCACAGACCTGGAGCCATGGAATAGGGCAGTGTTTTCTGAGAAATCCCTTTGGTATCTGACTGCTTCCCTTGGTACTTGGCATCAGTCAGTGTCCCAGTGACCCAACTGAGAGGCTGCTCTACCTCAGCAGGTTTTCGATCTCTACCAGATGGTGAGCCCTGAGCCTTTCTTAGACATTAAGTTCTGTTATTGCTTCCTACAAAACCCCCATTCTCCTATTCTGGGATGAAAGTATCTTCGGGACAGTCATGTGGAAGAAAGTACAGACTTTTCTGTTCCTCTCTAATCAAAAAAAGTCTGTGATTTTGTTAATGATTTATAATAAGATTTCATAAACAAATTGTCAGAGCTTTGAAACTGTTTATAAAGACCTAAAGACCTCTATGATTTTTTAAACAAGGTATTATTCCCCTACTTCTGAAATCTAAAACCTTTTCTTTATGTATATATAAATCCATATAAACATGTATATACCTATAGTTTTAACCAAAAATAAAAGGTAATTATACTTTATGTTCAAAAGGTTTTTAATTCAGCAGTTATGTGCTTGACATCTTCCTTGTCAGTACATAGAAATCTGCCTCATTGCTTCTAGAAGTCATTTGCTATTCTATTAGATAGGTAGATCATAATTTATATATCTAATATCCACTTAAGGTAAAATGGGACCTTTCCAACTTGCACACTTGGGCAAAAATTTCTAAATAAGTTCATAGAAGTCAACTTGTTAGGAAAAGAGTAAGATTGTAATTTTGGTTTTCATAAGCATCTTTTCTAAGTGTCCTTTGAGTCATACATACCTGGAAGAAATCAATTGCTTTCCAGAGCAAATGAGCTTTAGAAAACTCAAATGAACATTTGTTTATACAAACTCAAAAGCATCTGGGTTATGTCAACTTCTCAACTATAATATTATTGTGAAAGGGAAAAAAATACTTTGAATGGTGAAGGAAAAGAACTTTGAAGCTAGAATGTTATATCCATCACACTGCTTTTTAAATATAGGGACATAACAAAAATATTCTCAAGCATATAACATCTCTAAGGTTTGTCACACAAAGATCCATTTTGTAAACTTTCATGGAGAAAGAACTCAGATCAAAAGAGAAAAAAAATCCAGAAGGCTGCTGGAAAAGGTGTGATGGGTAAGAATTATCAATTATTTCTAATTTTATAGTTGACTTTAAATCTAGGCTAGAGGGCTAGAGATGCAGTTTAGTGGTGAAGTAATAGAGGGCAAGGGGTAGTGTGGAAGGGCCCAGCACCACAAAAAGAACAAAAAACACAACCAAACATACACACACACACACAACACTAAACTAGACTAGAAAGAAGGATAAATGATTCCATAATTGCTCATAAGTTTCAGATAATCAACATGGTCAGAAGAGAATGATCAAGACTCACTGAAGAGAAAGCCAACAATATGACCACCACTGCTCAAGTAGTTTGTGAAGGGGTGAGATGTAATCATGGAAAAGTTTCAGAAATCAGTCATAGCCCAGGGCTTTGCACAATTGCTTATGGTATAAAAATAAAAATAAAATCAGTACACTTTAAGCCAATCAAGGGAACCCTTATTCAGCTAATTGAAAGTAGTAAACAAGTAAATAAAATTATAATAGAAGACAAAATTACAGAAATAAGTATTTTTAATTTTAATTTTAATTACAATAAATATAATCGAGTTAAGTTTACCAATAAAAGCTCACACTCTTTAATGAGCTAAAGAAAGCTCAAATTATATGCTGCTTAAAAGACACAGACATATTTGATATTTAAAAACTATGGAAATATTAAAATAGTAAAGTGCCATTTTAGGCAAATATTATCTAATAGAAATCTGGAGTATCATTTCCCAGTGTATTTATTTCACATTTCTTTAATTAAAGGACACGCCTTTACAAAATTCATTCTGTGCAGTTTTGATTTGCGTTTCTCTAATTGTCAGAGATGTTGAACATTTTTTCATATATTTGTTGACCGATTATTTCTTCTGTGAAGTGTCTGTTCAGTTCTTCAGCCCCATTTATTGATTCGGTTATTTGGGGGTTTTTGTGTTAAGTTTTTTGAGTTCTTTATGTATTCTGGAGATTAGTGCTCCATCTGAGGTGCAGGTGGCAAAGATTTTCTCCCATTCTGTAGGCTCTCTCTTCACACTCTGGATTGTTTGCTTCTTTTTTTGTGTGTGTGTGTGTTTGTGTGTGTGTGTGTGTTGCTGGGGATTGAACCCAGGGCCTTGTGCATGCGAGGCAAGCACTCTACCAACTGAGCTACATCCCCAGCCCCTGAATTATTTTCTTTGCCGTGAAGAAGTGTTTTAGTTTGGTACTATCCCATTTACTGAGTCTTGATTTTATTTCTTGCGCTCTAGGAGTCTTGTTAAGGAAGTTGGTTTCTCAGCTGACATGATGGAGAGTTGGCCTACATTTTCTAGTCCTGTCTATCTAAGAGAAAACAAACAAAAAAATTTCATATCAAAATCAACAGCCACATGGAGATAGATAGATGGTTGCTGGACACTTAAGTAATGAAGCCTTTAAAAGTAAAACTTGTTGGTTGCCCTGACTCCATATTATGACTTACTCATAGGTTTTCTGTAAAATTACCCAAACATCTTTCACAAATCTTTCTCAAAAATGAAACAAAACATATCCAGCTACTCATGGGGATGTTTCCTCCTCAGATTCTTTCAACTAATTGGTTGAGAGTTTATTAATGAGTAGATATCATCTAAAGATATTCCAGGCTTTATTTATGAGGCACTGATTGTCCCAACCAGCAACATCAGCACCCTCTGGGATCCCATTAGCAAAGTTAATTTCCACATCTACTGAATTAGAAACTCTGGGGCTGGAACTCCGTGATTTGTATTTTAACAAGCTCACCGGAGAGGCTCTCATGCTTGTTCAGGGATGAGAACCAGTAAATAATCCACTATAGCTGTGTTTCTGAAGTCTGTAGCTAAAAAACAGAACCCCCCCCCAAAAAAAAACACTTTTTTTTTAGAATTATAATTGATACACAAAACGCTGTATATAGTTAGTGTATAAGACTGGGTGAGTCTGGAGAGAAGTATTCACACATAACTATTACAAGTTATGCCATCTACCTGTCCATGTCCTCTAGAAGATTCCTCCTGCGTAGACCAATTGCTCTAAGTATATTTTAAGTGAAAATTGTAGGCCCAACTTAAATTGAAATCCCTGGGTCTGTGGTTCAGCAAATGCAAAGAACTCAGCTGAGATGAAATTGAATGAGCCTATTTTGAACAACTAATTTGACGTGATCATTATCACTTCTCACCCAATAACCCAAGTTCCCTGTTAGCTAGCAAGTTTCTTTCGACAATGATGGTGAGATGTTTGGAGATGCGCCAGACCTTCCTTCATTCACATAATCTCCCTTAACCAGCAAGCACAGGGCTGTTGGGAGTATGGTCACCCCAACATCACGATGATGAGCACCAACAGCTTGAGCTAATTCACTGCCTCTGTTGCTCTTCTCAGTCCACAGGAGCCAAAAATCTTGCTGGGTCATAAAAGGACACTGCAGGAAAAACTGCAGATCTGGTGAACAGGTGAAGAAGCCATGTAAACATGGTAACTATTGCTGTGTTCCCAGCAAGACAGATTCTCAACTGCACAGACCCACCAAGGAGACCCCACCCATGGTGCTGATGATTTCGTAGTAACTATCCAAGATGAGTAGAGAAGGAAGTAAACAACTAGGGTTAGTCTTTCAAACAGTTTGTCTGTAAAAGGAAGAAGAGGGTTGAGATGTCAAAGAGGGCCACGAGTGTGCCACCATCTGCATGACTTTGGGTGACTTGAGGAAAGATAACACGTTTCCAAGGACAAAAAGACTTAAATGTTGTTAAATTCAGTCCTGTCTAATGCAAATCATCTTTGCACAAGTATCACCACTCCTGTGGACAAACTCTGTAAGTAGATTATGCGGGGGCTGCAGAAAGAAGACCAATCATTTAACTGCGTATCTGTGTTGAAAACCTCATGTGGCCCACCTTAACGACCTGTGATAAAAATGAATGAGGAAGAAAAGAACCATCCCTGCTCCCACATCTTGAATCCCAGACCCATGTTTTTTACTATGGGGGAAAAAAAACAAAAACACCATACATTAGAATCTAGACCTGAACATATCTTCAGGTTATGCTTATTAAAAGTAGCAAAGTCTTGAAATTATTTGGGGGTGTAAATTATGTCTTCATAGGTCTGGCTTTGTAACTGTCACTCTGGGGCATGTTGAAATCTGACTCTAGAGGAATTTAGCAGCAAACTCAGGGCAGACTACATTAGGGTCTGCAGGCAACGGAAAGCTACTCAGACATAAGAGACGGGCTCCTAAACAATAAAGATTCTAAATTATCAGTTCCATCTGATTCCACACATTTGTCAAGTGTCAGGACCCAGTCCTTCCTAATCAATACTTTAATTTTGACATGATCAAATGTGTAAGTCTGTGAACTAACCTGAAGTTGAAATCTACAAACTGCACAATTAATTGCGGAGTCTGATTTTCAACGAGCCTGAAATGAAAGTTTTTGATTATGACTTCTGTTGAGAGATTAAAGCCTTGATTTTGTTGGGTTTATTCTGTGAGTTCTCTCCATTGTTTCCAAACACCATCACACCCCAGGGGCTTGGGAGTCATCTTTCCTACCATAACTATCCAGTTCTGGACTCTGTTTGGACCCCAAGAACTTGTGTTAGTAACTCAGTCTCAAGCAACAACAATAGTGATTGAATTAATTATGATACCATTGCATGCCATGAATTACCAATGTATCACTTGTCCATTGGAAGGTAACACAAACCTCACATGTGAGGGTCTATTCCCATTATCACTCCTGATACCAAGTTATTACACAGTCAGAACCCCCCCACAGACACACACACAAGGCATTTTGACCAAGATTTTATACATTGGTTTATCAGCTGTTGGAGGACAAACAGAGCAAAAGAGAACCCCCAGGTAGCCCAAGAAGACAAATGCAGGGAGTAGCTACCACCTCAGAGTTGACAGGAGGAGTTTGAAGTCACCATGACCTAGGAGCTCAGAGGACAGAGGCTGCAAAGGTGGGCCTCTTCTTTCAGACAAGGGGTGATCCTCGCATGTTACAGATTCTTTTTTTAATATTTATTTTTTAGGTGTAGATGGACACAATGCCTTTATTTTATTTATTTATATGTGGTGCTGAGCATTGAACCAGGGCCCCACACACGCTAGGCAAGTGCTCCACCGCTGAGCCTCAATCCCAGCCCTGTTACAGATTCTTATAAAGAGGCACCAGGGTGGAAATTTATTCGAGTATTAAAACAACAACAACAACAACAACTAGAGACTAAAAGTATTTGCTGCTCCTGGGGCAAACAGCCACCCTGAGACAAAGTTCCAGTGCTGGAGTGATAGAAGGACACAGGGTATAGGAGGGCAGTGAGCTCTCCCTTCCTGATCCACCCCTGGTGCCTCTCATAGAACAGAAGGCCAGATGGCAGAGTGCCTGGGAGATGTGTGCAGAGTCCTAGCCCCGGAACCCAGAAGGAAGAAGTTGAGAGATGGTGGGTAAATGATCAGCCTGTGTGCCCACAAGACGGGGCCACATCTAGAGGAAAGCATTTGGAATGGAAAAGCAATTAAACCTGTGCAACTGCTATAGTCTCCATGGTCCACTGAATTCATGGTCAAATCTCCCAGTAATGAACAACCATGAAGGCCCCGGGGCCAAGAGAAATTCATTTCACACAGATTGAAGTCCCTACCAGCCACAAAACCTGAACCTTCCATCAGCTATTGGGCGCCTTCCTTGAGGTGAACCAAGGGTGGCGTTCCATGGAATAAGATCAACCTGCACCTGAGACTGAATTCACACCTGCGCTGCAGCCCGAGGCAAATTCTGCCAACCACCGACATCCTGTCAGGACAAGGAGTTGTTGTAGTTCTTGGTGGCACACATTAGGGCACACGTCCATGAAAAGTCTGAGCGATCCTGATTCAAGATGGCAGATCGGAGGCACCCAGCACTTGTCTAAGCAGGTGCCTCTCTTCTCCATGAGATAGAATCCAAACCACTGGAACGTCACACCTGGTTCACCTGAAGCTAGACACCCAATCGCTGAGAATCCCAGGCAGTGGGGTCTCCATAAGGGAACAGAGGAAGCTTCCCCTTTGAAAACCTGTGGTTGGGGGAGTCTGCAGTGGGGTTGTGGGTGATTGAGCAGTCCTTTGTGATTTTGCCTGGGAGTTCTCACAACCAGAGTTGTGGGTGGGGGGTTGTGCAGGGCCTGTTGCCACCACTGCCACTACCCCAGCACAGAGAGTCACGACTTCCTAGCCTCTCCCCATCCTCAGAGTGAGCAGCACAAAAGATGACAGAATCCTTGACCCATCACAGCTCCCCTTCCCCACGTCAGTGGCCTTAGAGTGCACAGCACAAAGGGCCCCAGAGGGAGCTCATGCCACACAATTGCATGCCATGTAGCTTGGTGACACACTGCAGTGTCTGTGTCTCCTGGGATCTTGGAGTACACAGCCCAAATAACTGAGCCAATCTTTGCCTGGTGTCATAGTTTGGATACGAGGTGTCCCCCAAAACCTCCTGTGTGAATGCACAAATGACCAGAGGTGAAAGGATTAGCTGTGAGAGTTGTACCCTACTTAGTGGATTAATCCATTGGATGGATTAACAATTTGAAAGGACAAGTGTACTAGGTGGTAACTGTAGGCAGGTGGGGCGTGGCTGGAGGAAGGAGGTCTCCAGGAATGTGTCTGTCCACCTGGCTCCTCCTCTGTCTGCTTCCTGGCTGCCGGGAGAGGAGCCACTTTCCTCCACCTTGCCCTCTCCCCACTGCAGGCAAAGAGCAATGGAGTCAGCTGACCATGCAGAACCCCAGCCTCTGCTCTCCCCAAAGGATGCACTGTCTAAGCAGATATGGAAAGAAGCTCTCATTGGCTTAGGGTGCAAACATCCAGCCTCACCTGCACAATTGAGCACCTTGGTAGCCAGGACGTTTTTATTTCTAATAATACTTTTTTCATTATTGCTGTTTTTATTTGCATATATGTTTCCCCCCTCCTCCTCCTTTTTATATTTTTCTATTAAATGACTTTTTAATTAATCAATTGTAATTAATCATCTGTGCAATTTTATTAACCTATGTTTATTTGCTGTTTATTCCAAAATTTCCAGAAGAATACTTATGTATATCCAGACAAAATTCTTTTTTTGTTTTGTTTTGTTTTAGAAGTTTTATTGAGAGCTGGTAAGTAAAATTGTGTAACTTTATTTCGTTTTTTTTTAATGTTTCTGATTATATTTAATTTTGTTTTCTTTTTCCTTCTTTTTTTCTGCTTTACCTTCTCCTTCTTTCTGACTTTTTTATTCTTTTCTTAATTTTTAATTTTTTTATTCTTTATTTTTCCTGGTTTTACTTATTTTATTTTATTTTGGTAGTGGAGATTGAACTCAGAGGCACTCAACCCCTAAGCCACATCCCCAGCCCTACTTTGTATTTTATTTAGAGACAGGATCTCACTGAGTTGCTTACCACCTCTCTGTTGCTGAGGCTGGCTTTAAACTTGTGATCCTCCTGTCTCAGCCTCCAGAGCCACTGGGATTACAGATGTGTGCCACCATGCCCAGCTACTCATTTTATTTTTATTATTATCATTTTTTAACCTTTTAGTTTATTCTGCATTGTTTTTATCCCTTCCTTTTCTGTTGTTGATGTTGTGGTAATTGTGTTGTTGTTATTGTTGTTGTTGTTGAACATGGACACAATATCTTTATTGTACTTATTTATTTATTTTATGTGGTGCTGAGGACTGAACCCAGTGCCTCATGAGTGCAAGGCAAGCACTCTACCACTGAGCCACAACCCCTGTGATTGTGGGTTTTATTTGATTTTTTAACAAGTTTTTTTTTTAACAAGTTTTAAAACATTTTTCTATTCTTTTTTAATTTTTTCTTTTTAGTTGTACATGACAGTATTTTTTGGTTTTTATTTTATTCCTTTATCTGGCTTTTTGTTGTTGTTGTTGCTGTCATTGCCAGTTTTCTTCTTTCTGTGTGGTGATGGGGATGGAGCCCAGCACTTCAAGCACATTGGGTGGGTGCTCTGCCAACGGAGCTCCATTTCCAGGACAGCTCAGAGACTGCACCTGATTTCAGCCATAACCAGCACCACTCAAACTTTGGTGGATACTTTAATTTAAAGAATACAGGAGATAAAAGCCTTCAATCACTGACCCTTGCCCGAGTAAGCACGGTTGGAAGGAATCCTGTAGTCCTAATACTGAACATTCACCCCCATAGCACCAACAGAAAGAAATAATAAACTGGTCATGGATACCACATCTCTGAGGACCTCAATAGGTGGTTCCATTCCCTACCAGACTGTACATTACGGACAAGATTGAAGGAGTAATCACAAAGGGTATAGCCCATGTGTCCTGCTGTTTACATCTGCCTGAATTGCCAGAGGGACCCCACTCTCTGAAGACCTGCAGAGAACTCAGGTCCATTAGGCTCCAACACAGTATGCATTGTGTCAAAACCCACTAATCACAACCAAAGCAGTCACAGGAAAACATTACGAAGTCCAATTGTAATTAGCCTCAATAATGCACAACGAACTATGTCCAGGGCACATCAACAAGAGAAGACTGCGTACTAAAAGGCCCTCACGTAAGAGTGGAAAAGCTATCCATCCTAACAGGTGTGAAAATCTTAACAAAGAAATACAAAAAATGAGGCAAATGCTATGAACATTGATGTGGCTATGTCAGTATAGTATGCTGATTTTAAGTCCTTTGGGTCTATGCTGAGGAGTGGGGTAACAGGATCAAATGGTGGTTCCATTCCAAGTTTTCTGAGGAATCTCCACACTGCTTTCCATATTGGCTGCACCAATTTGCAGTCCCACCAGCAATGTATGAGTGTGCCTTTTCCCCACATCCTCACCAACACTTATTGTTACTTGCATTCTTGATC